TACTGTGGTTGGACACTTGGGGTTGCCTAGTGTGCCCCAGACTTGGTCTGGTTGCTGGATAACTAAAATTTGTTTTTTTCATAATTTTTTTTTTTTTTAATTAGGTGCTTGAAGTAGAGTTAACATTGACTTTATTTTTTATCTCGACTTCGGAACGCTTCTTGGTGCTATTCTGGCAGAGTTTTCATTCTCGCTGGGTGAACACATCGTTGGATGACCACCAAGATATTTTGTTTCATTATGTGCATGCATCAGTTGGGAGGCTTTTATTTTGAACGTAGCCAACGGCACTCGCATTACCTTAATGCAGAGTATAGTATGAACAATCGTGGCGGCTGGCTGGACTTCAATTTTGCGTGTGGAGGCTGGCCTGACCGCAGTACGCAGAGGTGCTTCCGAACGTAATGGCACTCACCCCGGAGTTGGTGAGCTTTTTACAAAATCGCCGTGTACCAGAAGACTTCCTCATCCCCATGGAGCGAGAACGTGTTTGTGTATTTTGACATTGCCCATGACTGTTTTTCACTCTTTCGTGTTAGCAAGCCTGCTTAAGCTATAGCTAACACAAGTTAGCAAGGGAACTCCGGTATAAAATATGAAGTACTTTTCGCATGATCATCTGTTGTTGGCATCTTCGCCTAGGGCAGGGTAGCCAACCAGTCAGAGACTAAGAGCAAATTTTTTTACTGTGGTTAGACCAGTGACCTCGCTGCGCACAGTTATAGCAGACATCATTGTTGTTGTCTTTGGGCCCTGGAAGGTCACGATTTCGGAAGGGGCATTGTTGACGTGGTCGGTTATGTAAACCACCAGGAGGAACCGGGGGACGAGGGACCACCGCTGCATGTTCATCTTGATATTGATGATGGGAAAATGCCAGCTGAGCCAAGGCCAGGTCAGCCTGTAGTGAAGCAGCTTGAGAGGATTGAAGATTGACATCAGATATTTCTCCCACTTCCTGTCGGTGTTCCAGTCTGGTCATCGCGCGAAGGTCCTGATCTCAGGGATTCCTGTCCACCACTCCTGCTATCTTGGAGAACCCTTTAGGTTCAAGTAAGAAGAAAACATCTCGCGCCCTCTCCCCTGCGCGATGATAATTAGTATCATTTTTCTATAAAATTGTGATAAGTACAACTCTGCATAACACTGTATCCTTATTAACGTATAAGAGAATAAAAAAAGAAAGAAATATGGACCAACATACAACAAAGAATAGCTTTATTTACTGTCACAGAAAAGATTTAAAGTGCATCTGAAATTCAAAAATAAAATAAAATCCTGAATTAAATTGGAAACATTTTTTGACTGACCATGTCAAACCATACGATACTGAAAAATAAATTTATATAAAATCAATAAATAATGCACTGAAACTGATCACCAACATTAACACAGCAGAACAATATTAAAACAAAACTTTAACCTGCAAAACAAAAATACATAAAATAATTTGTGCTGATTTTTTTTTTTTCATCAGAGGATGTCTGGATTAATGACTACAATGAGCATGTTTTGCAATGCACAGCTTTTCGAAGCCAGGTTTGAAGCAGGACACAGCACCTCTCAGGTCCTGCTCAGTGTGTAGCTGGGACCTGTATTTTCTTTACTGAAGTAGCAGTCACAAATCGGGATGATTGTTGTCAATATTCGGCCCGTTTTCACTGAAAAAAACTCAAGCGGCTTATCAGCGTGATTGGGGTGTAATGTCTTTAAGTGATGCCTTCATTTATTTGGCCTAATGTTGTCCGCTGCCAACATTTTTAGACACAGTAAGCACACCGGTCTTTCCTCGTCTCCCACCATAGTCACAGTGACGCCAAGCGCTCCATACACTTCGTCATATTTCCTCCCTTCGAATGCTCCCTGCACACACTCTGCCAATGAGAGCGCCACTGCCCCCAAATGTAGTGGAGGTGCAACTGCACTTAATCCTAGGACAGTAAAAAAAACAAACAAAAAAAAAATCACATAAAAAAAAAAAAAAAAGCATGTTCCCCGAGGTTAAATGCGCCCCACTTGACGGAGCCTCATACTCCCCTGGGGGGGCCCACTATTTGAGAAACACTGCCCTCAAGCAACCACTCGAGGTCCCATGTGCGGTTCCAGATTGTCTTGTCCAGGGAAACAAAGACAACAAGAATTATAAAAAAAATGACGATTTATTTGAGAAAGAAAAAAGAAACATGGAGGAGCACTATTCACAGATCTGTCAAGGGAGCCTTCTCCCTCCCGCGTCTCGCGCTCTCTTTTGATCTCGTTCCCTTCTATTAGGTAGGGGTGAAGGTCAACACAATCAGCATTTTGAGCAGCTACACAAAATGCAGTCGAGGGCAGAGCAGACAACTTTGCTCATCTGCAAAATAACTGGTCAACATTTCAATGGTATGAACAGTTACTTACATTTTAGCACTGTTAGATGTCAAATTCCCATTACACTGGCCGCCAACCTGTTCGAGGTGTCCCCCGCCTGCTGCCCCAACACAGCTGGGATAAGCTCCAGCACGCCTGAGGCCCTTGTGAGGATAAAGCCGATTGGAAAATGGATGAATGGATGATGTTTTGGATTCAGTCTTTGTCTCCATGGGGATCCTCTCTGATGAGTGCGCTTGGGGTCTTTTTTTTCCTGACTTTGGGGCTCGAACCTCCCAGTTCAAAGTGGCGTTCAAAAATTCCATTCTGACCGAACTTGAGACATAATGAAGGTCAACATTGAAAAACAGGCAAACCTTCTGTTCTTGGGCTCCTACTTTTATATCTCACTCCAGGGATATAGTCATACATGGCAATTTTCCGCAGATCCGCGGAAATCCGCCGTTTTATTTCTTAAATTGATCATTTTTGTGAATCGCCTAAATCCGTTGAGAAAATTTTAGGGGCGGTCAGGTACCTTATCGTCGAGTTTTCACGAGCTCTCCCGAAGTCTCTCCGTTTTCCGTTTGTAAACAGCCCTGCGATTGGACGTGTATGAAAGCTTCAACTAATCAGATCACTGAAGGCATTATTTGTTGCGGAAGTCTTAGCTCGATTATAAACGGCCCAGCGATTGGTTAACTACAAGCGATTGGACCAATCAAATTGCATGTAACATATTGTTTTACCTGATTCATGGCGGCCTGTTCGTCTCGCAAATTCATTGTTCTGGGATCGTTTTGAGCGGAATTATGAAATTTTTGACGAAAGATCAGGAGTCTTTAATCCTAGAAATTGACTCAAATGTCAAGAATAAATTCCGATTGGACTGGCTTGACAGAAAAGTCACTGTAAAGGTTAAAATTGGTTCCAAGTTCGACGAAGTTACAGAAGCTCTTGGACAATTTTTGAAGAAACCAGACGTAGCAGGCAAAGCTTATTGTGTGTATTGTAGTGACTTAATTAACTATGGCTCACGTGGATGCGTTGCACTGACAGATCATGCAACAAAAGTGAAAAAACATGCCGACAAAATCGCCATTCGACGGAGCAATTATCCTTTGGGATCGGCATTTTTCAATCAAACTTCGTCAGCGGATACAACTAAAGACGTTACGCGCTGGGGTACTTTGCCTGAACCAAGCAACGAAATCTGCTCCACTGACGCCCCTCGCCGATAGACAGGTACACTCCGAGGTATATACTTTTTTTATTCAAAGATACGAGGATGATATTTTCAATTTTATTTGGTATGCATTTGTAGCAACAGCATGATAACATTTATTTGTTTTGAGTTGCGTTTTATATTCATATTGATAATTCACGTTTTGTCTTGGATAATAAAGCACGGTTAGGCATAATAAATTGTATGCATAATAAATATTCACTATCACTGTATGAGGTAAAAATCAACAGCTTTTTATCACATTTACACAACACTTTATGAATACAAGTCATGAACAAATCTTAAATATGGCAGGGAATGTGTTTACTTTTTTAGTTTTGATTTTGAGCAGCAAATTTGGAGTTACATATTGGTGCTCACCAGGAATGCATAGGCAAAATTGCACAAATTTTCACTTGAAAGAATAGTGGCGATCTTGGGATTTTTTTCTGTTCAATTTTCAAACTGTGTAAATTTAATACACTTCATCTTCAGCATGTTTAGTGCCACTTTTGTAAGTAACCACGCCCCCGTCCAGGCCACGCCCCGTCCAGGCCACGCCCCTTCCGCTTTTTTCATCACTCGCCATTGCCATGTATGTATAGTGCCTCGCCAGTCATGAATCTCACCAATATTGTGATTGGTGATATTGAAGAAGACTCGGCTAATCGAAGCTTTTTGAGCCAAGAGACTTTATTGGCCAACAAGCAACACACAGCACCAAACAACAATACGTTTGGATCCATCACACATTACATGACAAAATGGAAGATGTCCATTTTCATTTTATTCAGGATCGCATCCAATAAAAGACGATGAAACAAATCTCGATATGTGGCGTGCTATCCATACAAGAACGGTTCCATTTTGAAGAAAACAAAACAAAAAACTAAGAATGAATCCAAATGACCAAGCCTCTCCAAGAACGAATTACAACAAACGACATTGAAAAACCACAACTCAAAACCAAATAAAAACTACCGAAAATGAAGAAACTAAAAGTATTATACCGGCAATAACAATGCTAAATTTCCTAATTCATTCCAAACAGAAAATAAAAAAAAACTTTTCAAAGCAGTCTAGGATAATAAAACTTCAGCATCCCAATTTGAAGGTACATAAAATACAATCAGCCTGATGAAGGCTGCTCAGATGAGAGGTGAAAATTTCATTGATAACTGTTCATCTCATCACACTTGTGATCCTCAATCTGAGACTTCAATGAGAATCTTTGGCCACAAACTGAGCGGGAAAAAGGGTTTTCATCAGTGTCGGTTATTGTGTGGGAAACTAATTGTAACTTCTGACAGAATCTTTTGCCACAATCTGAAAAGGCAAAAGGTTTCTCACCAGTGTGTGTTCTGGTGTGTGTTTTTAAGGTTCTCTTCTCAGAGTATCTTTGGCCACAAACTGAGCAGGCAAAGGGTTTCTCACCAGTGTGAGTTCTTGTGTGGTTTTTTAAGTGTCCCTTCTCAGAGAATCTTTGGCCACAAACTGAGCAGGCAAAGCGTTTCTCACCAGTGTGTGTTCTTGTGTGCCTTTTTAAGTGTCCCTTCTCAGAGAAACTTTGGCCACAAACGGAGCAGGAAAAGGGTTTCTCACCAGTGTGTGTTCTTGTGTGGTTATTTAAGTGTCCCTTCCGAGAGAATCTTTGACCACAAGCTAAGCAGGAAAAAGGTTTCTCACCAGTGTGGGTTCTTGTGTGGTGAATTAAGTGTCCATTCTGAGAGAATCTTTGACCACACACTGAACAGGCAAAGGGTTTCTCACCCGTGTGGATTCTTGTGTGGCTTTTTAAGTGTCCCTTCTCAGAGAACCTTTGGCCGCAAATTGAGCAGGAAAAAGGTTTCTCACCAGTGTGTGTTCTGGTGTGTTTTTTTAAGGTTCCCTTCCGAGAGAATTTTTGGCCACAATCTGAACAGGCAAACGGTTTCTCACCAGTGTGGGTTCTTGTGTGGCGAATTAAGCTTCCCTTATGAGAGAATCTTTGACCACAAGCCAAGCAGGAAAAAGGTTTCTCACCAGTGTGGGTTCTTTTGTGATCATTTAAGCTTCCCTCCTCAGAGAATCTTACGCCACAATCTGAACAGATAAAAAGTTTCTCACCTGTGTGTATTCTCATGTGTCTTTTCAAGTTTCCCTTCCGAGAGAATCTTTGGCCACAATCTGAACAGGCAAAAGGTTTCTCACCAGTGTGTGTTCTCACATGTCTTTTCAAAGCCCTGATAGCAGTAAACATCTTTCCACACCGAGAACATTTCCAGAGTTTGTTGTCAGTGTGACATGTCAGATCACCATCATACTCTTCATCCTCATCCTCATTTGACGATGTGTTGCCACCATCTTTCGTGCAAGGGTGCTCTGGCTCCTCCTCTTTTTTAATGTAAAGGGCCTGGTCCTCCTCTTCCACCTGAAAGTGGGAGACCTCTCTGCTCTCCTCTTCCTCTTTAATGTGAGAGGGCTCCGCATCCAGCCGCTCAGGACAAACATCTTCACTGATGTCTGCAAGAGACAAGGAGACAAAAACACACGTGGAATTATGATTTACACTTAGGCTACTCGGAGAGCTAGATTAGTTCAGATTATAGCTCAATATGTGACATTACCAGCAAGTAATATATTAGTGGTGGATTTTTCTTTCTTTGATTATTTTTATCCCTGGTGGTGGTTTATTTAATTCTTTTTTTTACCCTTCGTTATTTGTCAAAAGACTTGTACAGAGTGTGACATTGCACATTTTAAGTGGACAAGTCCAGAGTGCAAACCCAGAGTGCTTTTCACCTTTCGCAGGGCGTTTCTGAACCGTGAAAAAAGAGTGATGACTTTACAGTGATCCCTCACTATATCGCGCTTCATTTATCGCGACTTTTGTACATGACGCTTTTTTTCCCCAAAGTCCTGTATTCAGAAAAAAAAAGCTTAACGACTCAGAGGTTTTGTACATGCCTGGACTGCATCGGCAACAAGCACTCATTCAAGGCGCATGATTGGTTTCCGTTGCGACGTCGAGCAATGACAGCACGAGTGGATTTATCCCGTGAGTTGATTGGCTGCGCATCTTTGCATCCACGCCCAGCGTGACTTGACACTCGGGAAGCCTTGTGTCACATCACGCTGTTGATTGTTTGGTATACTGTCGCTTCTATTTGCTTCGTGCGTGGTGGGGAAAGAAAGAAATAAAGAACGAGAGAGAGAGAGAGAGAGAGAGAGAGAGAGAGAGAGAGAGAGAGAGAGAGTGCAGGCCTGAGGATTTCAGAAATTCACAGAAACCGTTTTTCGGTTCCGTTGGATTACCTAATGGGAAACTACGGTAACTAATTTTGGGTTCCGTAAACGTTCATCATGGGAACCCATTTTTCTATTTTGACTGTTATTCATAATCAAGAATTCTGATACTCAAAAGTATAATATTTAAAGGGTAAATGTTTGAAAACTATGCATTAACAATGAACATAAACACATCAGCAGGTGTGTACTCCAGGTTTATTCAATAAAATAAATGGATTTTTCGAAACATGTTTAACGCTTTTATTGTACTCATATGGCATCATGAATACAGCATACCACAAAATCAGAGTATTGTTTCCAGTCTCACACTGCAAAGAGGATGTTACTGGTAATCATTAATATATCAATTCGTATGAAATACTATGGCAATCAGAAACACAATCCTTCAGTTCTGGCTATATACCATACCATGGGCCACAAGTAAAGCTGACACTGTTAACGTGATTATATGTGTGTGTGTGTGTGTGTGTGTATGTGTGTGTGTGTGTGTGTGTGTGTGTGTGTGTGTGTGTGTGTGTGTACTATTTTTGTCAATAAACAATATCAATGACTCCTCACCCCCTTTACAAATACAAAAGCATGTAATAGGAATTGAATGATTAAAATCATGTGATGAATCTTTAAAAAGAATGACCTTATTACTATATATAGACTTGTCGGATTGATATGGCTTGACATCCTTTTTGCAACCCCAAGACGACGCACGCTGTAATCTTCAATCAATTTGCCCAAAGAATCTACCACTCGTCAATGTTAATTCTACTGACAGTTCACATTAGTATTACTCCACTACCCCAATATGAAAAGTCATCAATAATCAGAAAAGAGGAAAAGGGGAAAAAACAGAGAGATATAATGACATAAATGCGTTGGGTCCTTTTTTTCTTGCTGGCTCTCGACGAAGGCAGACGCTTTTCTGCTCAGCTCCAGTCCTACCCCACCCTCTCCTTGCTCGCCACTCAGTCTACGTGCTGTCTGTGTCTAACTTTCCTAGCCTCCGATCGTACTTTCACCCTAAGAACAAACCATGGAATTGGTTGGCTGGTCTCTCGATGCAATCGACAAAAGTTTCTCGACGAGAAAAGCAGGCAGTGGGGAGCCTACTTGCCCCTCGGGGACATTTGCTGCCGGATACGCCCTTGATCCATGGAGAAAGTGGAGAATGGTGTGCCTGTCAATACTGTCCGTTGAGGATATGGAAGACATCTACATTATTGGCCTTCTGATAACAGGTATGCTGCTGTTTGGTGTTAGCAGTTTCCTGTTCTATCGCAAAATTCAACCGATGGGAGCAGCTTTATTGGAAGTTAAGAAGCTGCCGGTCATTCTGGATGGTCTGGCGCGAATGTCCAATACACAGACTCAAGCGGTGACTGAGCTCAACCGCAATATGGATGCGGTTTTGGGGTGTCTCCGTACGATTGACGACAACATGGTGAAGTTGGAATTCTTGCTTCGAAAAGGAAATGAGGATTTGGCTGATCGGCGTCATTGAAGGAATACAGCCACGAACTCAAGGCCACCTGAAATTGTTGGCGGCCGTCCCAAGACAAAACAACGCAATCTGGACCCTTTCCCCTGGAAAGTACGCATGGAAGCTAGTGCCCCCACCATCACCCCCACCCTCTCGGCCTCGAACTGATAAGCTGGGACTGTCTCCATCAGCAGACCTTGACGAAGCAGCTGCGGCCTGCCCTTATCATCAACGCCTTCATCGTTCCTCCTGGCTTTTCCCCGTGATGTGACTTGATCTGCTGTGCGCTAGATGGACTGGCAGCACGCCGGTTGGGCTGCGTCGCGCCCCCCCCCTCCCCACATCCATCCGCCCCCTCAACTAACATCTCGGGGCGCTGTACATACGGCGAGTACCGACAGGCCCTTCGCACTGTATCCCATGTTCGTCTTTGTTTTTCATGTTTCTTGTGCAGAGCGTGCCTGTTAAATCCAAATTACCCCATGGGGATGAATAAAGTTTCCTGAATCTGAATCTGAACCTGAATTAGTCTTATTTCTGATATGTGAATTGTTGATTTTGTTTTTCGATCAAAATAATTGTGGAAAACTGCAAAGACAGGTAGATGGTCGCTTATATCAGTAATAAGAAGTCCACTTTCCATTTTATGGTCAATGTTATTGATAAATATGTTCTCTATTAATATGGCCGTGTCAACTGTTATTCTACTAGGTTTCAGGATTACTGGGAAAAGGGTGTTGCTGTACGTGTTACACAACACGTGCTGTACACGTGTTGTGTATTTATAAAGTCAGTTGTTTTTTGTGTCCATTTGGGTTTAATAAGTCAATGTTAAAGTCACCAAACATTATTCGTGTTTGCTTATCGTTGGAGTAGCTGAGCATATCTGTTGGTTTTTTCTTGAATGTGTCAATACATGATCCTGGTGTCCTATAGATGCAACTTATGATAATATTTGATGCTTTTTTATTATGTATTTCAATAGTTAGACATTCCATTAGGTTTTGATTGTGCTTGTCAATCTCTCGATTTTACTGCATTTAAGTGCTTTGTCTACATATATTGCAACCCCCCCTCCTTTTTTGTTTTTTTCTTTCATCAGAGGTGAAAATGGACTTTCCTGAAAATTCCGGAAAAAATAAAAAATGATATATATGGACCACCCTAATGTACACTATAGGTAAGATCGGGCCGGCCGAATTTCGGGTCGGGTCTAAAAATGTCAATCATTGCTGTCAATCAACAAACACACTCCCTGTTTTAAGACTACAAAACAAAACAATCAGAACTATATCATTAATAGATGAAAATATACGGAACCCACAAATCCACTATTTATCAAATTAAACACTATGACATTTTATGACCTGGTTAACTTCAAAATTGCCCAATTAATGTACAAAGCACACAATAACCTGCTCTGCCAAAACATCCAGAAGCTTTTCGAAATTTGACAAAGTTGCTATGATTTAAGCGGTACCAACCTATACAAAATCCAAAACAAGAACAATCGTCAAGCAAAGGAGTGTATCTGTAATTGGTGTTAATCTGTGGAATAATTTTTAAACGGACCTGAAAATGAGTAAATCGCTTGCTGAGTTAAAAAGCAAATTTAAGAGAATAGTACAAAAAACATCAGAGTTAAGTTGATAAATTTGAAACATTTATTAAAAATAGCAATCGATCAGAATTGAGAAAGTTGATAAATGTATGAAATGTAGAAATGTAATGCACGAGAACACGAACAAGAAAATCGACATTTAAATGTACAAGAGTGTATGTGTATATAATGCTATACAAACCAAAAGTTGAAAAAATAGGTATAGCACATATAAGAGTGTTCATATGCATACTTTTCCTTTTCTTTTCTAATTGACAGAAAAACGATCTATTTATATATTCATAGATAATAAGGGGTAGGACTAGATAAGTTTTATACTTCTTACAACTCCTTTGAACATTAAATTGTGCTGAATGATGCCGGTTTTCTTTACCTTTTTTACAATTTTACTTACCATTACTTTCTGTCAGTTTATTACTGTATATGTTTTTTATGTTCAATAAACAATAAACAACAACAAAAGCATTCTGACCCTGATGACAATGCTAGAATTCATTACAACAAAACAAAAAAACAAACAAACAAAAAAAAACGTTTCAATGCAGTCAAGGAAAAGTGCATAAAACACAATCAGCCTTGGTGCATGGACCAATGAAGCCTGCTCAGATGACAGGTGAAAAACTGTTCATCTCATCATCACACTTAGTGATTATCACACACAACAGCTAAACTAAGCTAGCCGAGACGACACTCGAAGTCGGACGGACACGTTTTTCTGTCAATCTGTGTGTTTCCCTTTATGTCCAAATATATTTTTTACGACTACTGTCTTGTCCACGGTGTCTTTTATTCGTTCCACTGAGGTTTAGCAAATGTGTTGATAAAGAGACCAAAATCGCTACTGTTACTAGTGTTAGTGTCTCAACATGGCTAAGCTCGTGAAAGCAAAACAACGAAATCAAACGCGTCTTCGTTCAATGTTGTCAACTAATATCCGGATTAATTTTAGGCAAATTTTCCTCAATTCTCCGGAGAGATTTTCATAAAAATGTGAAAAACCCAGAATTCCGGGAAAATCCGGAGGACTTTCATCTCTGTTTCATTAAGGTTGCACTCTGTCATGAAGGTTGTGGTGTCAGGCATAAACTTCATCAGAGCAAAATTGATTATTTATTTCAGGCGTGGCCAACCAGTCAGAGACTAAGCCAATTTTTTTACTGTGTTTCTGCAAAGAGCCACACACACACACACACACACACACACACACACACACACACACACACACAGCACACACACACACACACACACATACACACACACACAGCACACACACACTCACTCACTCATACACACAGACACACACACACACACTCACCCAACACACACACACACACACACGACGAAAATTACAACATGTGTACGTGTGTGTATAAAAATAAAAATAAAAAAAGCATGTGAAGGCTGTGAACAAGAGACACGCGTGAGAATAACAGTGTGACCGAACCTGCACCGTGAAGAACAATTCTTGGCTGCATCCTGCTCATGGCGTCCAGTAGTTGACGTTGTCGCTTGTGTTCCTCTTTTTCTCCACAAAGTTCCTCCTCGTACTCTGCTGTTCTTGCGCACATTTTCACACGAAAATTACAACAACACTTTACGCTTAAGATTTTTCTCGGAGCGATGTGTTGAGCACGAGAGCCTCTTTGTTAGCAGCTAGCAAGCTAAATGAAGCTAGGATCGGCCGAGAAAAACACCAGCGTACACCGAGACGACTTTAATCGGACACGAAGCTTCAACGAAAGATCTTTTGGTCCAGCGAGATGATGGTGGACGTCCCGAGTGCAGGTTTGACCACGTTAACTTCAAAATTCGGCAGAATATTGAAAGAGCGTCGATGCTTCATCGCGGGCAGTCATGGACTGCGCTCAAGTCAGCTGAGCGATTGTTAAAACTCTGTATTCCGGTAACGTGCAGCTGCCCAGCGACGTTGCCCCCGCCTCCCCCTTCAAAATAAAAGCTTGCCAAATAATGTCTTATTTTTTTTAAATAATGTCATAAAACATATCTTCGCGGTCAGGCAACGATAGGTGCATCCAGGGGGAATGAAAACTGTCTCACGAAGCATTCTGAAGTTGCGACAGAAAATGAACTCAATGTTAACTCTCCATCAATAACTATAATTTTACCTCATTTAAAAAAAAACATGAAAATTTGAATTTTATTTATCTCGGCACCAAACCAGGCCACCCCAGGTATCAAATTTTCATTGAGATCTAATATTACATTCCAAACTTAAATCCCCCTAAAGTCTGACATTTTGACGTTTACGCCTTATTTGACAAAATCAGTCAAAAATTAAATTTCGTTATCTAGCAATCAGTCCAGGACAAAGGCACACGAGGCCCACCGAGGTATCCAACCACAGTACAGATCCAGATACAGACCCAAACAAAAATATTTTTCCAAGCTTTATATTTTGTTCAAGCCAATCAATATTGTTATGGAAAACAATTGTTTTGTTTTTTGTTGTTTATTGTGGCCACCTGCTTTTGAACAAAGAATAAACCTTGACTGATAAGAAGCCAAAAGGCAATTTGTTTTTCACACTATTTTCTTTCCTCCCCAAACTGCTTGGAAAGTTACTCTTTGGAAAAGGTACCAGACTGACTGTGGAGAAACATGGGATAAAACAAGAAAAAAAACAGACATTCTTTGTGTGCATTTTTTAACACTGCTAATCCTGCTCATGTTTGCAGGGGAACTGCATTATAACCTCGTGGATGTTGCCATACACTTACACACTGGATTAGGATCATGCGAACAATGTGATGCTGTGAATTATGTATGAGGTTCAAAACAGATCTCATGAGGTTCTTGTTAAGAAAGCAACTAATGTGCGACAGCATCCGGCAAGTTGCATTTTGTAATCGTACCAATTTGACAGTGGAGACCGGGAAGTTATTTATTTATTTATTTGTTTATTTAATGAGCATACATAGTTCTGTCTTAATCACAATCTGAAACAGAAATTTACCCAATAGATTTTTTTTTGGGGGGGGTGGTTGTTTTTTTTTTTTTGTTTTGTTTTTTTGTTTTTTTTTAGCCTCACATTGTGTGAATGTGTACTTGATGTTTCCATGCGGGACCAGACTGAGTGTTGACCCTGGGGAGTGGAAACATGGTGTCGTCCGTTTGGCGGCTCAATTAAATGAAATTTGGGAATTCGGTTGTTTCATGTGTAAGCGCTTGGTGTAAAACTTTCACAAGCTCTGTCACCAATTTAATGTGAAATTCTGCGTTCGACTCCGTGCCTTCTCTCCTCTGGTTCGACTTGAGAGGCGTTCAAAGACAACCTCCGAAAAACGGAAATTAATTACGACCTCAATGACACTAAGAAAAGCGAAAATCGACCAATACATAAACTCAAGCGAGGATATCACAAAATAAATTCTATGGTGGCGTTTGTAAACAGTGAACAGTGGTGTTTCTGGGCAGGGGCCAACAGGGGCCAGTACCCATGTAGCACTGATTCTTGACCCCCCTGTGGCCCCTCCCAACGAACGTATATTATGCAGTTGCGCTGAGTCGCCGACGCCAAGGTGGAACAAAAGTGCGTGGTTTAACATTCTAGTCGGACCTTTTAGTGCGCTGCAACACTGAACAAAGACGATGGCGAAGATGAGAAGCATCCCCCAGAAAAGCAGTCCCAAGATTACCACGACGACGAGTGTGATTATATTGTCAAGGTAAGACCACAACACAAAACCAAGCAAGCCCGCAACAGGAGGGTTGCTGAAGTGTAATTCCTCTTCTCTGTTAAAACTTTAAAGTTAAAAATGAAGAGAAAAAAAAGTGTATTCCATCCTATTTCTACACAAAAAAGAAACTAAATGATTCAGACACTGAGACAGAGCCAGATGATGATGGTGATAGAGCTGAAGAGGAGCAAGTTGAGAGCACAAGCGAGGAAGAGTCAGAGGACACGGGAGGCACTTATTTTCAGAGAGGACACTGAGCAGCAAAGGGAGACAGATGAAGATCCTGAGAATGAGGAACAGACTGTCTGCGTGTGTACGTGCGCGCTTGTGTATGTGTGTGTGTGTGTGTGTGTGTGCGTAACTTTTTTAATATCCCTTTTTATTTTTTAAAGTTTATTTAACAGGAACTCAACTCAGCTCAACTCAACTGTATTTATAGAGCACTTTCAAACAGCCATCGCTGCATACAAAGTGCTGTACATGGAGCAAATTAACATATACAACAAACAGTAAAGCAAATCGGTAATAAAAACCGTAGAAAGCACTGAACAGCAAAACCAAGAACAATCTAAGGAACGATACATAAGACATTGCCTTTTAAAATTGGGACAATTATATGCATGTAAAACATCTAGCTTCAGTGTATTTGCAATTTTAGTCCCTGATCAGGCTTTAGAATGTATTAATTTATATGTATTGAATACAATAAAAAATAATTAATACAATTAATTAATAAATAGCATCAATCAATACATTTGAGACAATTGTGTATATCTGAGTGCCTAAGCAATGTAAGTGTAGCGGGTTAGTGTATATGCTATGTCCATGCAGAACTTGTGTTTACACCTATTTGGTTTGTCTTTGTCCACAGACATCAGCAGATGTAAAGAGGACATGCCAATGCAGCCAGACCAAAAACCGTTTCCCAGGACCCTGATGGGGGAAGGAGCTTCAAGGCAGGCTGGTACCACATCCACCCCTGGCTTGAATATTCACAACCATGGGCGTCATTAGGCCTATTTTAGGGAGGCTTCAGCCTCCCTAAAAATGTCTTTAGCCCCCCT